CCCTACCCATATGCATGCGCATCACAACCATGGCTGCATCTTCTGCTTTCGGTTGTCGGAGTAAGGCAAAAAAAGACAAAACTCAAATGAACAGATGAACAAGAAAAACACCCAAAAAGGCCAGCTTGATCCTTAAACAGACCCATCCTCCTCCACCTCCCACAAAGCCGCCTTTTTTTACTAACAGCTCCCAGGCAGGCTTGGCCACTCCATCCATTTTGAAGAGGTAAAATGGTTTGTTTTCTTTCTTTCTTCCCTCCTTCCTTCCTAATTTTTTATTTTGTTTTGTTTTGAGCTACTGAACTTACAAACAATCGTCTTATCAAAATGTAAACACCTTTCAATGCCTCTCAATGTGTCATTTCATCAAGCTGTGTCTGCAGACACAGGAGAGCTTTGGCATTCGTGTTGAGAGTGCCTGGGAGGACAGCCCTGTCCTTGGGACTGCCCGCGGTGATGCTTCTAGCAGCAAAAGGCAGAAACCCTTGGGAGAAGTAGTGCTCTCTGAAAGTTCTAAGACTGTTGGTATACACCGGGGAGCCACGGTTCAACACTGCAGAAACAGTGGCTAGGAGACCTGATTCTACTCTTATCCTTTAGCGTTGCTGCTTGGCACATTTCCTGAGGCTCGCTGCTCATGGTTCCACCACTTCTGACTTTAATCCTCACCCTGAACCATGGTTCTATGCCAAATTTAAATGGATACCCTTATAACAGAACTCCTATTTTATCTGGTTTAAAAATACGCTGGGTCCCACCTTCTTGCTTCTGCGCTCCATCTGTCGCTGCATGTGACACCCTGGTCCTTGTGAGACGGGACTGGAGGTCACTTCACAGCCACAGCAGCAGTGAGTTTAGACTCTTGCTAATTAGCTCTCCTGTTGCAGAAGGAGCAGGACTACACTTGCTCAGTCGCTGCCGCACACCCGTTAGCGTGGGGTAGGCCTCTGCCCAGGGCTCAGCATCTCAAGTCTCTGCCTTAAAACGTAGGTTGAGAAGTTGAGGGAGAGTAAGGATGGGTACATGGGAGGATTTGGAGGGAAAGAGGGAGGGGGAAAGGAAGGAAGGGAGGGAAGGAGGAGAAAGGAGAAATACTGTAATTAAATTATAACCTTGATATAAAATTTTTAAGAAGGTCAAAATTTCCATTATGAAAACATATGTATTTATAGAAAAGAAAAGTCTTTCCAGCCATCATTGAAGCTTTGTCAGCTGGGTGAGGCGCTACTTACATAAGGTCCTAAGAGGCCACTGCCAAATCAAATCAAACAATAGAGGTTGTCTAGACATGCTACGATCTGTATAACCACAGAGGTTAGGTATAGAGTAAGGGACTGGCGGGGAGGGGAGGCTCCCCCGGGGAAGAGTAAATAGAATATAGACTTAGGGAGAGATGGGGAAAACTGGAGCAGAAGAATGAAGCAGGGAAGAGGAGGGAAGAATAGAGGGAGGGACAGTTAGCACTAAAGGCCATGGGGGGGGGAGGATCATATAGAAACCTACTACAGTAGACGTTTCTTAAAATATATACGTATATGAAGGAAATCTAAATGGAGTCACAAAAAAAAACAGGGGAAACAAAGCCCCAACTAGGTATTGCTCTCCCCCAAGTAAACCTCCAATACCAGAAAGTTGTTGGCCAAAGAGGTGCCATAGAAACTCCCAAACAACCCAGGCTATTGCTGAGGTTACTGACTGCTCCCCACAAACTGATGGTAAGGCCCTATTGCTAAAGACAGCACTTTCCTATCTCACTGAACACAGAGAAGTTAAGTTGATGCCTACAAACTCTTCGGTCTACATCAGGGACCCAACCACATGATATGCTGGTACAATGGTGGCACAAACATTGCGGGAGTCACCAACCGTCACCTGCTTGGACTTAAGGTCCGCCTCATGATATGGAACCCAAGCCTGACACTGCGCAGGTGGCCAAGAATCTGAGACTATGGTGGCACAAACATTGCAGGAGTCACCAACCGTCACCTGCTTGGACTTAAGGTCTGCCTCATGATATGGAACCCAAGCTGACACTGCGCAGGTGGCCAAGAATCTGAGACTATGGTGGCACAAACATTGCAGGAGTCACCAACCGTCACCTGCTTGGACTTAAGGTCTGCCTCATGATATGGAACCCAAGCTGACACTGCGCAGGTGGCCAAGAATCTGAGACTATGGTGGCACAAACATTGCAGGAGTCACCAACCACCATCTGCTTGGATTTAAGGTCCGCCTCAAGAGATGAAACCCAAGCTGACATTGCACAGGTACCCAAGAATCTGAGACTAGGCAGGCCATGGACCTAGAGAAATCCAAAATACTATGGCTCTGTTAAAGACAAATAGCAATAAAAGGACTGCTAATGACACTCTGCTATACCCATAAATCAGTGTCTCACCCATCCATCACCAGAGAAGCTTCCTCCAGCAGTAGGTGGGAACCAGCACAGAGACTCACAAGTGGACAGTGTGCAGAGAGCCAAAGACCTAACATGCGATCCTAAAATGGAATCTCTTACTGGGTATATGAACCACATGTAAGGGAGGGCCCTATGCCCCAATGTAAAAACCCAATGCAAGAAGAACTCAGCAGTATTTTTATGGATTTTTTTTGTCTCATTGTGCTTTGTTTTGACATTTCAAAAATCTTACTAGTTTTGCTTGTATGTCATTGTTTCCTATTTTTTTGCTTTTATGTGTTTGTGTGTATGCATGCACATTTCTTATGTTTTTTTTCGTGTGTGCATGCATGTGTTTCTTGTGTTTTTCTTTCTTTCTTTTTTTAAAAAACTTTGTTTTCTAAAAAGAGAGAGAAAAAGAAAGCATGGAGCTGGGTGGATGCAGAGGTGGGGAGGAGCTGGAAGGAGATGGGGAGGAGCTGGAAGGAGATGGGGAGGGGAAACTGACCAGAACATATTGTATGAAAAAGTTATTTTCAATTTAAAAAGTTGACTAGAGATAACTATTATTAATAATAATTGCATAATTATAATATTTTGTACATAGCATTTCTCTTCCATATACATATAACAGGACTGGCACCCATGTGAACTCACGGGGCCTGCAGAGGTTCAAGCCAGATAGTGTTCTACTGCTAAGATGGGGAAGTGGACATGAGCTCCCATGTCTATATCTATATCTATATCTATATCTATATCTACCTATATATTGTATATTGCTGTGGATAATGCTATTGTACACTGTAAAGATTTGTCACTCATATTGGTTTAATAAAACAGTGACTGGCCAGTTGTGAGGCAAGAAGTATAGGCGGGGCAACCAGACTAGGAGAATTCTGGGAAGGGGAAAGGCAGAGTCAGTACTAGCCAGGTGCAGAGGAAACAAGATGAGAAAAGGTACCAAGCCTCGTGGCTAAACATAGACAAGAATTATAGCTTAATTTAAATTATAAGAGCTAGATAGTAATAAACCTGAGCAATAGGCCAAACAGTTTATAATTAATATAAGCCTCTGTGTGTTTCATTGGGACTGCAGAACCAGGCAGGAAAGAAACTTCCGTCTACAGGACATGTCCTCACAGAGCCCTTTTTCTTTATAATCGTGAGAAGCTCTGACTGTCTTAAAAGCAAAATGTCATAGATAGTTTAGGTCTACACATGAAACATCACTAGTTCATATGCTACATGGTTTCATGTTACTGCGTGTTATTACAGATTAATCTTTATATTATTGTTTTGTAGTATTTTTTAATTAATAGGTAACTCTTTCATTTTCTAATAATAAGTAAAAAGTTTTCTCCCACCAGGCATGGTGGTACACCTTTAATCCCAGCACTCAGGAGGCAGAGGTAGGTAGGCCTCTAAGTTTAAGGCCAGACTGGTCTACAGAGCAAGTTCCAGAACAGCCAGGGCCACACAGAGAAACCCAATGCAGACAGCTCCCCGCCCCCAAGCCTCTCTCTTCAAGTTTAGTCCTTTGGTGAACAAGTCTGAGGAGATGAGGCTTATTCAAACCACACAGATAGTTTTATTTTTAATGGCACATACACGAACTGGCTTTAAGCTGGTTTCTGAAACAACTTTATTTTTCCAAGAAAGAAATACTAAAGAAAAGAAGACTATACAGTAGCCTCTCTTTGTACAGAAATGGAAATAGCCTTCCTTTGAGGAAGTCAGGCACGATTGGACCAGACCTGGAGACACACTTGGTAATCATCACTGTACCTGGCTGCACCCTGGCTCCAATAACAACCCTTTGACTTCTATCATTAAGAGCATAAGGACACTCTGTCTCTCTTTGTCTCTGTCTCTGTCTCTGTCTCTGTCTCTCTCTCTCTCTCTCTCTCTCTCACACACACACACACACACACACACACACAAACAAATCTTAGCAAAAACAGCCTGGTATTATCACGGTAAGGGCATAGTTGAGTGACAGAGCACTTGCTCTTAGCACGGTGTGAGGCCCTGGGTTCTATTTCTAGTACAGCAACCAAAACCCCAAACAAACAGAAAACAAAGATAGGCACTAACTTAATTACTGAATTCAGAAAAGTTAATACAGTATTTTCCAGGTTAAATATTAATGACCAAAAGCAATTCAGAGCCAAGTCAGGGTTAGAAAGGTCATTATCTCCTGACGTCAGAGATAATATTTAAAAAATTGTAAATAAATATAAAGCCAGGTTTCTATTACTCCAGAGAGAAAAGTTTACGTTTTTCAGCATCCTTGTTCCTCTTCCTGTGGTACTTTTCTTCCTAATACATCATGGGGTAGACATCAGAGCTGCTTTAGAGAATTGTTAAAACAGAGCCCTGGATTCCAGCCTCACCACTTCCAAATCAATAAGTCTGAGCGGGCCCAAGAACCTGTATTCCCCACCACTTCCGAATCAATAGGTCTGGGTGGGCCTGAGAACCTGTATTCCCCACCACTTTCGAACCAATAGGTCTGGGCCGGCCCGAGAGCCTGTATTCCCGAAGTGTTCCCAGGTGGTACTGAAGTTGGCAGGTGGCAGCCACACCGCGGCAATCACTGTACCTGAACCTTTACGTTCCCAAGGGCAGCAGCGCCGGCTGTTCTTCACTGTCAACGCACAAACGAAAATGCAAGAGTCCCTTGGGCGGTTTTCTCCCTTCCAGGCTAAACAACAGAAGTCCTCTAACCTCTTCTTATTGTAGCTATCATTTCCAACCCTTGGCTCTTTTTTCTTCTCTCCCGAAGTTCTTTGTTGAATGTCCCCAAGTTTCTTTCTGATGTAGAGCCATAAACAAGACCCAGAACCCGAGTCAGCGACCTACCAGGGCGAATGACTCAGAAGCAACCCTGCGCACACATTCACGGGTTTTTTGTCGCCAACGCTGCCCTGTTAGCGCTCCTTGTCACATGCTCCTGACTCTCCGGGAGCTTCAGTGTTGTGGCACAGACCTTAAGAACACTTCTGAGAAACCAGATAGATGCTACAGCGCAGTGTTCTAAGACAGAACGGGGCCTGATGACCCCGCGGAGAGAATACACAACCAGGAACTCAAGGTCAGATTTCCAAGTCTAAACAGTTTAACAGAGGAGCCTGCTTTTACTGTCACACTAGATCTTAAGCCACCACCCAACAACAGCTTCAAGTGATGGGAAACGTCAATGCCTCCTTTGGTGGCAGTGATAAGGACTGGGAGTGGACAATGGGGCTCTGGGCCGCCGAGAGCAAAGCTGCACCAGGACACAAATGCCCGTCCCAATCCTGTGCTGCAAGTGGCCAGAGAAACAGACGCTACCGTGCCCTCAAAACACCCATGCTCTCAGTTCCCACTTCTCCCTTTTCACATTGTCTTTCTGCCAATTTGTTTACTGCATGTCAGGGCCCCCGTTTCTGGCACCGCCGAGCTTTAGCGCGTGAGCTCTTTGCACTATGCTCTCTTTGTGTATTGTGTGCGCTGTGGAGGTGCTCAGCACATAACAACAGCAGTCCCAGTATTTCCCAGAAACATCAGCATTCTTCCGGGCCGTCCGGCAACTATTGACTGGAGTCGACGCAGGCACAACTGGAGGCTCCACTTTGCCCATTCTCCTTTCATTTTAGACAAGACAGTTGAAACTAGGCACACCACAACATTTTTCTGCCAAATTGCCTTTTCAAAGAGAATGTTCCAGAATGTAATCACCGAGCAAAGACAACCTGTTGTAGAATGCAGTTGCCTACAGCCAGGCAGACAAGCTGCTGCTTGATTAAAGCCCTGATGTGGGGTCTGGAGAGGTAGCTCAGATGGTGAGTGCTTGAGAGTACTGGAGGTCCTGGACGCTATTCACATCCCCACATGAACCAACCAACCAGCTAAACAAACAGAGAGCACGTGAATGAAAGGGAGCCAGACCAAAGGCTGCTGCTAAGCTCCTTAAGGCTCTGGAGTAGAAGGCTGTAATTAAAGGAACTGCGGAGTAAACCTACTGCCTCAGCACATCAAGATTTAAGGCAAGGAGGAAGGTAAGAGGGCAGGCAGCCAGTGGGAGCAGATCCCACAGACCTCCGGGCAGACCTGGAGTGGAGGGGCAGCAAGGCAGGCAGGTTCCAGCCGGGCTCTTCCTGCAGTACGGAGGCAGCCCGTGTTGCTTAGCATGCAACCTCCCATGTGTGGCCACAGAGTCAAGCTCACTGTAATCTGTTGCATTCAAAGTCACAACTACTCAACATAACTAATTCCACTCATGAGGAATCTCTGACAAGTGGCCCTTCCTGGGACACCAAGGATACATACCCAGTACTGAAAAGAATCATGGGAGCAGCCACCACCCGAGCCCCCAGCACCACCAGTTGCATAGTCCCGCATTGAAGAACCTATCACGCAGAAATCACTAACGCATGTTCTTCAAGTGTCTAGGGGCATTTTAGCAATTTGTCCCAGAACACAAGCTTCCCACTAACAGATAAACCTCTTTCTGTTACATTCAAACTGGATAAATACTAATCAGCTTTTCGTTTGGGCAAGATTAAAAACTACAATGATCAAAGTAATTTTAGCTTGAAAACTAGCATGACCAGAATACATCATTATAAATACTTCAAGGGCTCCCAGGGGCTTCTTAGCAAGGGCAAATAGAAGGTCAAGAGCTGCAGCGGTCTTGCGATGACGTGAGCATCTTGGAGCATCTGCCGGAACAGAGCCCCTTCAGCTCAAGATGACAGTAGGGCCTTTTCTATTATAATTACAGATTTCTCTTTTGCTCGGAAGGCTAAGCTTCAAAAAATGTTTCTATCTAAAAATAGCCTGGGAATTCAGTGCTATTTTCAATTCTTACATTCTTTTCCTACAAATACACCACTCAGCATCTCCTTCCATCGCGGACACCTTATGTCATTAGAATCAGACAACACCGAACAACAAAGAAACCTTTAGGTAAAGTCTTGTAAAATGGGAACATGACATAACTAACCCTGGATTTGCCTCCCTCTTTGCTTATAGATGGAGATATGGGCGAACAACTGTTTCATTAAAAAAAAATTCCACATTCCTAAAAGCGGGTATAATTTACATGTTAACAGACAGAGAGATTCCTTTTAGATTCTATGCTACTAACAAGCTGCTTGACTTGAAGTCATTCTACTTGAAGTGTAAACATAGTTCAAACTATGCAGGGTGACTTGTGTTCGATTCAAAGTAACACTGGAATCTTGCCTTCGCTTCAGTCTAGACTTAAGCTGGGGCTGGCCAAGCTGGAAAAGCAGTTCAGAGTTTTAGATACTTTTAACAACGAAGTCAACACACTTGAAATCATCCCCTAAAACAGTGGGTCTCAACCCCTTTGACAAATCTCTATGTCCAAAAATATGTACATTTTGATTCATAACAGTAGCAAAATTACAGTTATAAAGTAACAACAAAAATAATTTTATGGCAGGGATCACCACAGCATGAGAGACTGTACTGAAGGGTCACAGCGTTGGAAGGCTGAGAACCACTGCTCCAAGACCTTCTTCCTAAATGGGTTCTTATAAAGTTATTTTCCTTAGGCAGGGAAAGGTCTATTTTTAAGCAAAAGCTTTTCCTTTAAAAAGATACTTTCCATCTATACATTTGGCGAGGCAACGTTTGTCTCTGCAGCAGATCCACTTGAGGGGGGTAGAATAGGAATTAACTTTCAACATGTTTCCCCCACAGTGACTACCAGAGAGAAGAAAGCTTAGAAACACAGTGACATTTCTGTGTACAGAAACCATTTCTACCAATCTAATATTTTAACATTCAAAATAAGGGTTAATCTACGACTAAAGAAATAAGACGAGGTGAGAATCAAATACTCTCTCCGGAGAGAGCTGATTAAGTCGAGGTGCTCACAGCAGCACACACGGAAAGAAAACACCGGATCACTGTACTGACACGGACCGGTCGCAGCATCCACACTGGTTTTCCCAAGGCACATACAATTACCATGAAAGTCACTTCAGGGAGATTTAAGGTACAGAGAACAAAGAGAAATGTTAAAATCCCCAGAGTACTCACAAGTAGCTTGAAAGAGAATCCGAAGCACAGTTCTTCAGAGGTCTTCTCTCTGGATCATCAACACAATCTTGAGTCTGAAACAGATGCCTATCTTATCAGGCCTGGCAATCACATTGCAGCTCGCTAACTTCTACTTGGGTACACAGTTTTACAACTCAGAACAAACGCTGGCTAAAATTAACTGCAGCCGAGCAGCAGGCAGGAACACGCTGGTTTGCATCATGTGGGCCGGGATTTATTCACTAGGACAACACTGGTGTCCTCTTTATGGGACTCTGACCAAGGGGTGTGCCCTGCCGAACAATGCGCAGCATCACGATTACACTAATTACTGAATCCGGTTGGGCACCACTGACTGACTTCAAGTCGGCTCTGCAGGCACCGACAGAGAAAAAGCGAGGTCTTTTCCTGAGAAGGCAAGTGCCTGGAGTTTAAGCACATTCGGGTCAGACAACTGTGACAACAAGGTGGCAGCAGTGTCTGCTCTTCGCGGGACATCTGGGACATCCACTGAGGTTACCCACTCGCTTTCTGCTCTCTTCTCTACTTCCCAGGGAGGTGCTATGAGGACACATGGCCACTTCAACAACAAAACCCACAACCGAGAGCAAACATCTCCAGTTTATCAAATGCACTGTAAAATGCATTGCCCTGTGTGGCTGGCTACAACCAGAAGAACTGTCCTCTGTTGGAGCAAATGATCATTCTCTAAATATACTGAAACCCAAGCAAACAGTTCAAGACTCCAAACCACAGCCAATATTTAAAAGAAAATTAGAACACAATGCTCTCACCAACTACAACTTAGAACAAAGGCATAGACTGTGTAGCGTCTACCACGGATGATTCAGAATGCTTAGCTTCAAGCATATTAGTTCCTATGCCCTGAATGGATACTTCTTCAATCAAACCTCCAGTCACCTGCCCTTCCAACAGACACAAAGTAACTCTGCCTGGAAGACAACTGGATTACCCCACCTTCCTCCAAAACCCTCTCTGACCTGACGCCACATTAACAACATGCCTAAAATCCCACGTATCTTTTCAGAGTTATTTGTTTCCTTATAAAACAAACAAACGGTCAGGGGACTTACTGAACTCAACACTCCAAACCCAGGTCCAGTCTCAGGGGCTTCAGTGTCTCCCATATACCAGTACTTCTCAACCTTCCTTTAATATTCCTACATTGTGGTGGCTCCCAACCATAAAATTATTTTGTTGCTACTTCATAACTGTAATTTTGCTACTGTTACGAACTGTAATGTAAAGATCTGATCCACAGGACGTTTGCTATGCCACCCGCCGAAGAGGTCGTGACCCACAGGTCTATAGCACGGATCACTACAACACAACCGGACTCTTAAAGAGCACAGCTCCATCTGTGACACGCTTGCCAAAAGTTGCCAATGGTTAGCTTTCATTGGCATACACTGCTAATATGATCTTCCTCGTGTTGTTTATAAAGATGGCTGGTTGCGTACCTGACACTCTAGCCCCGTGACCAACCTACGCAGCTGCGGACAGGACACACCCACCCCACCACGCAGCAGCTGGTGCGCGCTCTAGGCCGTTTTGCCCAAAGCTTCCGGAGAAAATAAGAAAACAAGCCTCACTAACCAGAGGGCTAACCTCTGATTAATAGGTGATTTTCAGCAAACTTACTCTAAAATTTTTTAATGCCAACAGAGGACACTGTGGGGCTAATTTTAACAAAAAAATATTATCATCCAAAAATGCTTGTGTTCAGTAGGTAGGTCTCTTGGCAAAAAATTCTTTATGCTCTCATCTAGTTAAAAAAAAAAAGCAGAATTGACCTACACGTCATATTTTGCATTGTGGAAGATCCAGACAGCATTGTAAGGTCTATTCTGAAGCGAGAAATACTGGGCAATTTTCTAGTTCCTCTCATGTCAAATCTCCAGGTATGAGTCTGTTGTTTCCCTTACCACCCTGTTTGAAAACACAAGCACCTACTGGGAGGAGTGGCAGTGGTGCACACCTTTAATCCCAGCACTTGGGAGGAAGAGGCAGGTGGATCTCTGTGAGTTTGAGGCCAGCCT